CCTGAGGCCTCACTGTGGGGTTTGTTTCCAAACCAGGAAAACCCTGCCCTGACCCGCTGGGCCTATGCCAGGACGCAGAACGTGTACCCCACCTTCCGCCCGACACCGAAGACGTCCTTCCTAGGGCTTGTTTTTGCCATAGGCCCTCTCCTTTTCTGGGCTGCTGTCTTCAAGTTTGAAAGGGTGAGTTGGCAACGTGGAATGTCAGTGAACATCGCAGTGTAAAGTGTAGGTCTGACTGGAGAGTAATGGGTGGAATCCTCTTGCACCTAAGAATGATTAATGCCATTAAAGAAATGAGGGAAGGGAGGCTGGTACTGAAGCGACTGTCTCAAAGCCTTATAACTGGTTGCAAAGTGCCGTTGTGCTAAGAGCCCTCTCTTGTACCCTGGGGTATGGCCAGTTGCAGTTTCCCTGCTTAAGATACTTTGCTACATTAAAGCTCTCTCTAAGCACCGACAGTACAAATTAATCGTAAAAGACCATCATGTTCGGCTGTTGACATGCAGTAGCTGTGCTTTCTAAAATAAATAGGGAGCTTATGGATGACAGACCTCGCAGTGTCTCTGTGAATGCTTGACCGTTTCTCTAAGCTCATGAAGCACATGGGGAGGAGGACTTGGCTGATTACAGTGCCTCATCTCAGCAGGATGTTTAAGATGATGGAAGGTTTATCTCACTTCTGGTCTAACTCCTGCAATGTAGACTTCAGAATCTGAGCAATTCTGAAAAAACTCAGCTCTATGCATACATAAGAAAATGCTGCGTAATGGGCAGACAGTGGCTGTTTTCACTAGTGAATTCACACCCGTTTCACTCCTTTGCACAAAAGTAGCATTTTTAGATCAAGCTGTAAACCAAAAAGCACAATCGTCAATTAAAACAGAATATTTGTAGGGAATGTTGTTTGCTAGGATGAATCAAAAATGCAGGTTTTAGGAAACACACTGAGCATGTTGATAGAAATGTTTTTGAGACCTCAGCATCTCCACAGTATTTTGTCATGCTGGTTTGGTTTTGTATCTGAAGCCACAGTTTGGCTTAGCCACCATGTGTGGCTGGGCATATGAGTGCTTGACAATAAACCTCTGTGGGTGAAATCCAGACATAATTGCCTGGGAATATTTAAGCTGAAGTCTTCAATCTAGTCTCCAGAATAATTTGTTTTACTTTATTCCAGTTCCTTTACTGATGTTTGGGGGTTTTCTGGTGGTATGTAGAGCACAGTATCTGCAGTGTCCGTACTATAACAACACTTGTCAGCAAGGTGTGTGACTGCAGGTGAGGTACAAATAGGCTGAAAGTGAACACAGGCATATTTAGTCAACTTCTAAAAAGTTTCTTGATAATTGGATTACTCAGCCAGAAGAAGGAGGTAAAGGAATGTATAAATTCTCTGTGACACAACTAACTAGTTGGTGAAAAAGGAATTAGTCCCTGCTGGCCTGTGAGAGTGGCTGGATGTGCAGAGAGGTCAATCTGAGCATATCTGGTGTAGCTCAGAAGCTAGTGAAGCTAAATGCCTTGTTCTCTTTTACTTTTTAACCTCATCAGCTTTTAAGTTGGTGCTTATAGAATCATTTAGGCTGGAAAAGACCCTTAAGCTCATATATGATGCCATCTTCCTATAGTCCGTGCTGAAATACTAGAACTGCTTCTCTCTTATCCCAGGCTGATTGAAACTTCTTTAACAGGATGATGATGAGTGTTCTTTCTTCCACAGGATCACAAAGAGAAGCTTGTCAAAGAAGGTAAATACAAGCGACCATTCAGTGTGTTTTAAGTTCCTGGAACTGCAGTGCTGGTTATGGCATGTAAATAAAAGAAGATACATTGTTACATGCTGACGTTTCTCCTTCATAAGAATAAATCTTAAAAGCTTGTTGGTTGTCTTGCATCTATAATAATTATGAAAAGTGCAGAAATGCAGGATCTTTATATCTAACACAGATAGATGCAGAGTGCCCTGAGCAAAACCACTGTACTCCTTTGGTCTACATACAGAGGCCTTTTAAACTGTGAAAGTTGCTGCTGTCAGAGCAGCACAGGCTGAAATGTAAAGCAGGCCCAAAGCAGTTCCTACAGAACTGCTGCTTGCCTACTAGGTATTTCTTCCTGGCATCAGTTTGACTCCGTAGTTTGCCCTAATTGGATAACAGGCAAGTTCTGTGATACTCTTTAATAACTTCAGGAGCCTGCCTGCCTGCTCTGAGTAAGTTGAGTTAATTTTTCTTTCCCCTAATAAAATAGAAGCCTAACCATGTCTTTCTTTCTTGCAATAAACTTTGGGATAAAATCACCATACCAGCCTTGGTAATAACAAGCTGCATGATGTCATGCTCTAGATGACTAGCATTTCCACTGTCATTCCTGTAACTGAGAGACAAGTCATAAAAAGATGAGGATTTTTATTTATGACATTGATTCCTTTCACTACAGAAGAATTCCACTTCATCCCTGAAAATGGGCCATGATTATAAAAACCAACCATAGCTAAACCTCATGCCCACAAAGGTGCCTTCTCTGCATATTTTTGTAAGACCACAAGTTGGTTTTGCCTAAGTCAACTGGTATAAGGGGCTTTGGAATTGTTACTGTCAAAGTACTGAAACATGAGTGCAAGGAAAAGATTCTTAATTCACACTTGAGTTTTCACGTGGCCTGTAGGTGCCATCAATGATCCAAGCAACTGTTATTCTTCAGGCATTGCACAGGAGTGGTTTCTTCTCAGATGCTGAGGTCAATGCCAAGATCTCAGTGTGATGCAAAAGCTGAAACCTTCCGTCTGCCTGCTGGGAAGGCAGCTCTACCAGGTCCCTTTGCTGTATGATCAAGATACAGGCTGTTAGCAGTCCCTCTCCATCACAGTGAGTTGATGAGCTTTTTCATGTAACCACAAAATGCTTGAGGTGGGAAGGGACCTTTGGGCATTACCTGGCCCAGCACCTGCTTAACCAGAGCCCCCTAAAGCAGGTTCCCAAATGGCTTTTGAGTATCTCCAAGGATGGAGTCTATGCAACCTCACTGTGCAGCCTGTGCTAGTGCTTGGTCACTCTCACAGTGAAAAAGGGGGTTTTGTTTGTTTGTTTCCTGCTGTAGCTCTTCCCTTTCCTGTCTCGCGCATCAGACATTCAGACTCTGAGGAGCTTGGGACTAAGCTGTTGCAGCAGCTGTACAAGGCCATGACCTGGTTTTGCAATCCCATGTGTGCTCCCAGCAACCCTCCTGCTTCTGTCCTTGTGGCTTTTTCTTCTGCTCGCTTAACTAAAGCAAACCCAGGTTGTTCTCTCTGCAGAACAGCTTCTAAAAGACTGTCACAAATGATATTACAAGTTTCCGCTGTGGGTCAGTGCAGAGAGGCATCAATGCATGGAGAAAGTGGTATTTAGGAAAAAAAAAGCATGCTAAATTAACTATCTTCCTGCTGCCACAAAATAATTTGATCTCCCAGGACCCATTTCCTCAGCTAATTGGAACTTGAGTTGCCACACATGTAAATTCTCCCTCGCAGCTGTATTTGTTTCAGGCCAGCTGAGCAAATGGTTCAGGAGGAGCTGTAGATGAGCACAGTGCCTCTAGGCCAGCCTTGGATTGATGCTTGTGGCACCTGCCACAGCCCTTCCTTTGCAGTCGAGAGCATCTGATGCTGTGTCCCTGCAGATTGGAGTGTGGTGCTTGGGGAAAGGCTGCCCTACTTTTCCCTCTTGTTATTTGCAGAACTCTCCAAGCTGCTTTCTTGCAAGGACCGAATGTGTGATGCTGTTGGAGGTGGGGTTGGTTGAGGCAGTGGTGCAGGGTGTGTAGAAGGAGAGGGGAGTTTCCCTTTAGAAATGTAGGGTGAAGACAGGAGAGTGAATGTACCTCATGCAGTTTTACCCTTGAATTGATCTATTACCACCTCTGTCTGCTTCAGTGATAAGTGTATAGCAAGAGGAACTCCAGCCTGCAGGTCACTGGATGATAATTTAGGTCTCAAACAGGAAACAAGCTTTTCCCCTCTGCCTGTGAAATGTTCAGACCTCATTTAGCCCTGGGTCAGTCTGATTAAATCAACTTCTCCAGCAAATTGATTCTTCTGAATGTTCTTTTTCTGAGCTGGCTATTTTAGAGTAAACATCTCCCTGTAGATTTTATAATGTAATACTTTGCTCAAAGCTGATGCTTCCTCCCCTCCCCTCGCCAAGGATCTGGTGCAGATCCAAAACTGATGACGGGTGTAACTGAAGTTAGGAGTCGCAGCTCTGCATTTCTTTCTCCTGTGGAAAACTGAGGATTGTTTCTCTTAGGAAGTAAGAAACATAGATCCTGGTGGCACCAAGCTTATTTACTGTTTACATCGGTATGTGCTAAATGTAGGCGTGAGGTTTGGGGTGCCTGGGCTGTGCTCCTGGTTCCCACTGTACTTGGGGCTTCACTTTCTGCCTTGACCCTGTGGAACTCGCCACCTGGGGATAAAGCTTTCATACTCCAGTGAATGTTGAGATCCTTTCATGATGTTGTCTGCACTTGAGCTTTCTTCAAGGTGCCAGGAACAAATGCCTGGACTGGCCAGACAAGCCCTTTCACATCTGCTGTGCTGCAAATTAGCAGTTTGAGTAGGGAGAGATATTTGACAAGCACTGACAAAGTCAATGTTGAAGGATGGCTGGAGCGTGGGATTGGAAAGGAAACTTTCCCTCAGCAGTGAAGTGTTTTGGATTCTCCCACCTTTTCTAATTTGCAGTCTACTTTCCTGACAATCAAAAGTCTTCCCTTGGCAGCTCTCCACAGATCAGCAGGTTGAAGTGGCCTGCTGTAATAGGAGGCTTAGATCTGGTAGAGCCTTCAGCTCTGTTTATAAAGCTCTCCCCTGCAGACAGCATAAAATGCTTTATAGATCCTTAGCTTTGCCCTGTGAACAGGGCTGGCTGTCTCCTTGTGTCCACACAAGGCACAGCATTCACACCACCTGCATGTGGTGAGCGCCACACAAGTACTTCAGCTTCAGCATGTCACCAGGAAAGCTTTAATTGGATACTTGCAAGTTAAGAATAATGGTGGATTTTTTTACTGCATTTCCAAAGTTAAATAGGGATCATAATTTTCGTGGCTCAGTGGCTGCTGGAAATGCCCTGCTGTGCTGGAGTCAACCGTGCCACCACATGCTGGATTTCCCAGCCTTCACTCGTGTATTGCAAGCAACAAATACTCCTCTTTACTTGCGCTTAGGGTTAAAATGGCTTTTCAGTGGTTCCCAGCACTTGTAGTAGTTTTTATCTAGGCGTTTGGAGGTCTGGAGGCCCCATTTGGTGATGGCAAGGCTGAGGGATGATTCAAACATGAAGGCCTGTTTGGGAAGAGGGAAGGTAGGTTAGGCCAAGGGAGCGGGAGTTTAAATCCAGGCCAGGTGGCTTTGCTCTACCACAAACAGCTTGATTCAGCCTAGGGAGAGAAAGCTCTTAGAGGCTGGCATTGCAATGCTGTTATTAACCAGATCTCAGAAGTGACTCTGGACTCCCTTCATGCCCAGGAAAGCCAGGTTGTTCCAAAAGCCCTAGTTCAAGGTCTGTTGACCATCATCATTAGGTTTTTAGAGGGTGGAAAAAGGAGGACAGTCAGGGGTTTCACTTCTTTGTCCATAGGCTAAGACAAAAATTAAGCAGCATGACAATTCCCAGCTTCCTGCTCAGGCAACAATGTATGTGGGCAGATGATCAAAGCTGCTGCCATCGCATGTCTCCAGGGGAGCTCTTAGGAGCTGAATGGTGCTGGTGGGTAAGGGAGCTGAATGGTGCTGGTGGGTAAGGGAGCTGAATGGTGCTGATGGGTAAGGGAGCTGAATGCTGCAGCAGTTTTGTCCAAGTACTTTTCCAACTTGCCAGCAAGAATGTAAGCTGTACTTTGAGTGGGACAGCAGCACTATGCCATGCTGTACTCAAAATCTTACTAGCTCCACTGGCTCCTTACCATGGTCCCTTCTGCAACCCTCTCAGGCTCCAGCTTGGCTTTGCTCGCCTTCTCAAAACAGTCAGCATCCGGCCCATGAGGAGTCATCATGCTGTGCAAGCTGGCCCCTCCAGGCTGGAAGCCTTCCTCCTTTGCTTCATAGTGGCCTTTGATGAGCCCCATGAACTCACTCATGCAGTTCCCTGCAGGAGACAGAGAGAAGAGGTTGCAACACAATATGTCCGGGAGGCTTCACAGCTGGGCTGTGAGCTCTTTGAAAGCCACAAGCTAAGCTGGACCAGGCAGTGGGTAGAGTGGTGGTTCCTAAGCAGGGTATCCCATGAGAGGACATCAGGGATCCTACAGGCAATGCTTGTAAAGCTGTACAGGTTTTATTCCACTCTTAAATTATCTGGATTCAGAAGCAGAGCTGCCAAATGAAGGTTCATTGATGGTATTGCTGTACTTTTTCTACCACCTTGAGCTATGTAAGCACTATACCTGCATAGGGACTGCATGATGTAACCTAGTATTTACAGACTTAGACTGGAGATCTTAAAGCCCTGCAAATGAAGTTCTGTACAATCAATCATCCCTATGTTACAGACACAAACTGCAGGGCCAACAGTCTGGCAAGAGAGCCTGGTCTGCTGTCCCAGGATATAAGCATGACATCATTTTGTTTGATGTTCTTCTACCACCTCTAGTCTAGCCAGGCCCTTCAGTACCTTATGCTTCTGTTTCATATATTATCTACCATTTCTCAAGAGACGCTGTATGCCCAGAGACAAGGAGCCAAATTCTGTCCTTCCATAAGGAAGAATACTTTAAGTAGACCCTCTGAAACCACTAACTTAG